ATTCAACCTTTAAAACGACATGGTGTGTTGTGCACAGCCTGTAATAAGGTCATGCTGAAGGGACATACAGCATTTCAGAGTAGTGGCTCTTCTAAACTCTACTGCTCACCTCAATGTCTCTGTGGCTCCAAGAAGAAAACATGTCACTGCTGCCTGAAGTATGTTTACAACATTTCATTCAGCTATAGTTGTATGTTACTGGAATGGTTTGACTTGATGTATGTTCTTTCTTTTCAGAGAGATTTGTGATGAGAATATCAAAATTGCCCTGGTAGACATGTCAGGGACTGTGAAGGAGTTCTGCAGTCAGAAATGCCACAGTGCTTTAAACTTCAAGTGCAGTGTGTGTCAGAAGACAGGAGTGGTGAGTAGACATCTCTGTCTGTGCTGAAGAATATTCTTGTGTGCTCAGTCAGAAATTATAAATGCGTATTTTGTTGTTGTAATTGTCTTGAGTTTTTAAAGATCCAAAATTATTGTTTCTCATAGACTCATAGTCATGAGGTGAATTACATGGGCTCTATCCATAAGCTGTGCAGTGACCGCTGCTTCAACCAGTTCCGCTCCTCTAACAAGCTGAACATGAACAGCTGTGTGAACTGTGGAGGATATTGTTATGGCACAGACAGTCAGTGTCCTTCTCTGCAGATGGAGGACAGAGTTATGAAGTTCTGCAGTCAAAACTGCCTCACAGCCTACAAAAAGGTGACAGCAAATCAATAGTAATAATACTCATTAAGATATCATTAATTTTATTGAAATATCATTTTTAAGGTGAATTATAAGTATAAATAAATAAATTGGATAAACTCATCTTTACTTATAGAGGAGTCTGAAACTTGTCACCTGCAAAATGTGTCATGCCCTGCGCCCAGCTGCAGATGCGGTGGAAAGTCCAAACTCAGAGGGCATCAGGGAGCTTTTCTGCTCCACTGCCTGTGTCGTGGCGAGTAAAGTCCAGACTGGCAGTTCGTCAGGTACCGTGATCACATTTGCAACACAACCCAGTGTATTTAATTGTAGTGAAGCACAGATACAAGGTTTAAGGTCATTGCACACAAAGTCCGTTAAAAAATAAATACGACCTCACGTTATGTCAATCACATTTACACACTGCCTCCGAAATATTCGTCCGT